TGCTTTTAATTAAGAAATTGAGAGAATTGCCGTGGTCACTTTAGGCCTTGTTCAACTCCTGATGTGAAAGCAAACCAGAGCACAAATAGCCACTAAAGTCCTGCTGTCCTTGCATGAACAGCAACTACATCTACTTGAGAGCTTTTGGTCCCTGAAGCCCTCCATCCGGCATCTCGAAAATATTAGACGTTACACATCAAAATTTTTCTTTCATCTGTAATTGTGAATAGGTAAACGAAGGCATGCTAATTGATTATAATTGGCCTTAAAATAACTTGCTGTGTGCCGAGCTGATTCTGTTAACACCAAGCTGTGCACCAAATAGCTTCATTGGTCTCCATGCACTGTGTTTCTATCATCATGAAACCGCGATCTCAAAATGTCTCGCAGCACGTTTTTATTCATGGCCCTTGGAATGACTGCCCCTGCGAAGGCCCCAGCTGGGACCCCCTGCCCTGTTGCCATAGATACTCAGCAAGGCTGAAGCTCTTTAATGTTGAGATCAATAACTGTTTTGTTTAGTGATATTTTTATGCTGCGGTCCATTAAAACCGTGTTTTACTCTAGCAGCTTGGTCATGACTATGCAACATTTACTTTGACAAAACAAATAAACACTATCCGTTAAAGTATCTGGGGCGGGGCTCAAAGGGGGCAGATCGTTTTGGAACTTCAATATTTTACTCTTTGGCATGCCGGGAAATTTTCTTGCGTACTAGTTTTCACAATATGCCATGGCAATCAATAATAGTGCTTATTAACAGCACAGGGCCAATATAGACATAGAAACCCTGTGAAGAATACAAGGGGGCATTCCATCATTTAACTTCTCTGATACATGAATCTCATCCTTTATAGTTTGCTCAGCATCACCAAGGCTGTGGAGGAAACATCTGTATGATAGTAAGTAACAGGCTGAATGCTCAATGCTTTGTCACTGTCATTTGTTTAGTGGGATGCGTGATAATTATCCTGTTCTCCTTTATGGGATTATGCATGCAGAGGGGTAAGGAATGCGGTTTGGATCTGGATTTGAGGTTGATATTCATTTACATTGTCAATAATGGAAATACGCAATGCACTTGATCATTTTTGGACTTTTGTTAATTCATTTCCTGATGAGATGGTTTATTATTTTGTATTTGTTGTATTGGGTGGTCAGGTCTGATATCTCTGAGCATTTGCAATAAAAACACTTGAACTACATTATGTTTCATGTGTCTTAATAGGGGTTTAAATAAGAAATGTTTAATAAAATAATTGTTTTAGAAGTATTTGATCAAAATGAGTTGCACTAATTCATTTAATGTAATCCTATTGCATGGGTGTTCTTAGATCTACACATATGTATTGGATGGAAATCCTGCACACAAATGAATTGAGTTCTTCCAATGACTTATTGCCAAAAAGAAGTTTAATTTAATGAGGAGACTCAGAGGTAACTTGTCAGAATCTGATCACCCAAAGAGTGTGTCTGTTTACGCTGCAACGTCTGACTTGATGAGAGGAGACTTTGGAAACTTTCTCTGCCGAGCTCTGGCGTCTTGCCTTCGCGGTGACACAGCGCTGTCAAAGATGCATCATCCTGCGATGTTTCCACCATTACATCAGACCACAGTCAACAGGCAAAGTGGGAGATTCAGCACATCCATGCGAGGGAAAAAAGGCCCTTTGGGATATTTTCCCTCCTCTGCCTCCTTCTACAAACAACCACCTGCATCTATGTTTGACATTAGAGCGAGAAACCTCCCCCCCATCCACACGCACACGCACACACACACGCAACCAGAAACAGCGGGAGATGATTCCGGTCATGATACTCACATCTCACACGCCTTGCGTGGCTGAGACAAAGTACGCTAATGTGTGCTTGCTGCCTTCAGCACTCATGAGTCAGACTGAAGTGGTTCAAGCGGGCCGTTTATTGCAGGGGGCAGCGTTCCTGCTGGGATCCCACAGCTCCCACAGCTCCCACATCCACACGCGTTTTCTGAGCTGCGGTGGTCAAAAATCTATGTGAAAATAATGATGTGTATTATTCTTCCTAAAGACATATATTTCAACTGAGCTGTTGAGAACAGTTAATGTTTTTGTTATTAATAAAAGGGCCGCAACGTGCAGGCTCCATACTATTCTAACAGTTAAATCGATTTGGATATGAATTGTCATTTTATATGAGCAAAACCGAACCAACCCACTGTTGCTGGGACACGTCTCTGAGTTACCGGTCACATGCAGCAGCGCTTTTAGACTACAATTAACTGATGTCTGGCTGCCCAGGTGCGTTTCTCCCAGAGGTGCTCTCTGAGTCGGAGGTGTCGGATGGTGGAGAGCGGCCCCCGCGCACACAGATTCTCTGATCAAACAGTACAACAGTATTTAAAGAGCATTAGTTTGACGTCCCCCCAGGGGAGGGGGGGGGGGGGGGGGGGGGGGGGGGGTTGATCACCTGGCGTTCGTGGAGCTGCACGTCTTCGCGCCACGCGGCTATTTCAACAATTGCAGCTGGAGTGTGTGAGCAGTATTTGAGCCGGTTACATATTTGAGAGTGTAATACGTCTCTATTAGCTTGACATGTCTTGCACCGCCCTTCAAACTGAGCCTTTATGGGTTGTTTATACGACACGACAGTGCATTAATACGCCATCATGCCACCATCATCATTAATAAGACCTATTGGAGTTATGTCTTCCAGAGCAGAGGACACATTTAGTCTCCCTTTGTTTGCACCTAGGCAGCTATTTTATGTTATGAATATGTTTCAACACAATTGCAGACTAAAATGATGCTTGTTAAAAGGATTTTCACATAAATATGTGTGTGTAAGTGCAACCAAGATGCACTTGAGGCCGCGATGTAGTTACGTTATTACACTGTCGGTTGGGGGGGGGGGGGGGCTGTTATAATGGTAGAGGAAACACTGAACTGAATACATGCAATAGGAAATCCCAAGCTGATCTATTTGAATCGAATTGTTCTCCTGATTAAGACAATTTGTTTGAGACGATGAGTTGGTGCGGTGTTCAGACTCCGATTGAATGGAATGAATCCATAAAGATGTTCAGAGACAAAGCAGGAAAGAGAGAAGAAAGAGAACAAGTGAAGTGAATGCTTTAGTTTTATCAGCCATCCAGTGCTGTCGGTGTGGTAATTATGTTTTGCCTTGGGGCCAATGTGAGGCCCACACGGGTTTAATGTGTTGTGAAGGAAATACAAAAGTTTTCTTCTGTATTCAAGCATCCAGCTTTGCTTTGAGAGGAGATTCTATTCATCTGACACAGTCTGCTTATTGGTACAATAATGTGCACCCGGTCTGAGAAACTTTCTTTTTATTTTCCTCTTGGATGAAATATCAAGCCGTCATCTTAAAGCGCTTGGTGGTCAAAAGAAAATAAAAAAGGATCACCACATCGTCGAGAAGACAATTACATCTTGTCCACCACAGGGCAGTATAGATTCATAGCGCAGACATTAAAACCTACTTCTACGATCATTCGTGTTCCCACATGGGAGCTCTGTGTTGTTTCTTTTTTTTACCATTAATCGCACTGTGAGGCGACTTGTCATATTACATTCAAGGCGTGCTTGGGGTTTGGCTAATTATCCAATGGATGACATCCTCGATTTAGTTTATTTTCTGCAATATATATTTATTTAATTATATTTCAGCTAGTTAGTAATTCCACCGAACTGGTGATGACGGTTGGTGAGTTTAAGTGTGTTTAACAATGACACTCGGAAGGTGTAGGGTTGTATTTTTTGCTTTAATAAGGGAGATAGTTGTTGTGATTCTTAGCTAAGATAACTATGGCTGGTTTTGAACATATTGAACCCACAGGACCGACGTTCAAAACCACCACTGTCAAAACTATCGCTAAGGTTGTTGAGCTCAGCTCCACAAAAGTGTTTGGAGTGAGAAAACACAGCACAGGGGACCTTTTTTGCATAATAATAATAATCCATAATCGAGCCAAAATTTTCAGTGAGTATAATTTTTTGTTCCGCTGTGCTTTTTAAGACATTTTTCATGTAATTGAGTAGGAGGTTGCCAAAGACTTTTGATCACCGTTTCTGTTTGCTGCCTCATTTTATGACATTTATATTAATGCACCAAATGGGAAAGGTGCAATTAGCATAGTGCTTGCTTCACAAGTTGTTAAACATGACTTATGCTTTATGGCTACCTGTATGGTCGATTTAAAAAGGCGCGTTCCTCACGGGCTTAATGAAATGGTAAATCTGATATGTCTGGCTGCAGGGTTGTGTGTTCACTGCACAGAGGGACGGTCCATAAAAGCCCCGCGGGCTAATGGAAGTAATTTAGGCACGAGGAGAACAGTGTAAATTATGTAAATACTCCGTAAATGTGTTGCTATTCTCCCATTTTATAGGAGGATCATTAGTCTAAAAAGGATAAAAAATAGGTACGAGGAACATGATGGTTTCGCTTTATTATGTGTTAACAATTTACCGAATCCTGCATTCTGTATTTATTGTGACCTTTGTTGCAGCTAAATGTAACCTTGATGCCACATGTTTTTTTCCCCTTGCAAGCAGAGGATTTTTTAAAAACTTTGTCACATTCCTGATCTGGTTGTTTGGTTTAATTAGTTTAACACGTGCACGTTGGCAAGTCAAGACCAAAAAGGCCGTTCCTAAACGTGTTACAAATTTGAGATGCAGATTTTAGTGCAAAGGTCTGCTTTGAAACATCATTGCATAGAATAAAAAAGAAGTCATATTAACTTCTCAAAGCAGAAGCCAATTTATCTGGGTAAAGAGACGCTGCTCTAAAAGTACTGGTGTTCATTTCTATGCCATGCGGTTCTCTTATCAGTTTCGATTTCATGAAAACTGCCTCGGGGTAGAAAGGTGAAGCGCGCTATTGTTTTTTTTTTAAATGACGATTCTCTGCATCGTAGACATGGGTGACAAATGCAGCTTAAACAAGGATTTCTGGACGTGCTCACAGCAGCCGTGAAAATCTGTGCTACGCCTCACCTGGTGTGTCCCGATATGGCTTTGGTGTTGTGACGGTCTCCCCTCTGCTGACAGTGGTGCTGAGCCTCCTGGGCTCCGGGGTAGTCACCACAGTGAACGTCCTTTGGGAGAGCCTGGTCGTAGTGCTGGGGCTCGTGGCCACCACGGTGGCCACGGCCTTGGTGGACAGCGTTGCGTTGGGCTTGCCGTTGTCGTCGACGCCATCGGTCCCGGTGGGTCCCCAGTCAATAAATCCGGCCACCGTGGTCGTCCGGCCCTCCTGAGACTTGTCGTGGCCGTCCCACTTGAGCTGCCTCCTGGCTCTGAGTAACGGCCGCGCCGCGTCCCCTCTGCTCCCGCTGGGCGGAACCGCTGGAGCTACTAAAGCCAAAGGTCGCTCGTCTCCATTTGAGAGTATCTCAGCCGGCACTCCTTACACGCCGCCGGTCCCTTCTGCGCTGGCTTTCGATGCTTTTGGCCCTTGACCTTGGGCCCTATCCCCGCCCTGCTGTCTTGGGGTGGAGGGATGGGGTTGAGGAGGCGGCGGGCCAACGGGCTGGCTGTCCTCCAGTGAAGCTTGTTGGGCGCGTCCCACAGCGGCTGCCAGCGAGGACGAGAGCGAGGCACCGGTTTCGGCGCGAGCTTGACGCCCGTGCTCTCGCTGAGGGGGCTGCCCGCCGAGAAGTCCAGGGTGAGGTGCGTCACGGCCAGCAGGATCCACACCCGTTGCCCCACACAGCTGCCTGGCCTCGAAGCAGACGGACTGCGGAGAAGGGAGGAAGCAAACGAGAGAAGGCCTTTTATTCAGTGTACGGGTTCACTGTATGTTCGAACCATGCCAATGAGGTTCCCTCTGTCTCCGCCCCTCCAGCACCCACGTCAGCGTCCAGCCTCCACGGTGCACTCCTGGCAAAGTTCTACTCCACAACTTCTCCTCAATCAAGCTTTGATGATAATTAGGTTCTCGGAGCGGGTCTCTTGAGTCGCAGTTCAAAAGTCGGGGCGCGATGGAAATGTTGTACAACATGTGACAGATTATGGATCTGCACTCTTTGCTCTCAGCAGGCAAAAGCAGTGATGACTTATCCTTGATGTTACAGATTCATATCAATCCGGGGGGGGGGGGGGGATGATTACGCCGACACACAAGGTCAGGCTTGGTTTAACTGATCATCATAATCGGCATTATCTCCCTCAGAAACAATGTCATCTGATTCCCAAAGGGCAATTTGATTATGCGGCGCAATGATCGGGCGGTAACATGCAGAAGGCACAGCATGACGAGGAAATTCCAGAAAACTTTCCCCAGCACAGCTAGAGCAGTAATGTATTCAAAACCATCCACCCCCTCCCAAAGAAAACGTCCTTTGTTATTGTATAACCCCATGAAACAGGGTGACGAGGTGACAGACAGGCCGGCTGCTCAGGCTGGGAATCTTTTTACAGGCAACCTTCAGAGGCCCCTGCAACAAAGCTACACATTGATTCCTAAGGGAGAAACCTCATTATGGGCTATCTTTCATCTCTGCTGTCCTTGGTCAATTTAAGCCCACGCGGACGACTCATTCTGGGCGCATCACAGAGGTGATGACAGGCAGAAAAGTGCGAAAAGGGTTCGTCGCCTGTCAGAAGCGACGCAAAGACGTCCGTCGTTAGTTTTATCGCCCAGTCATGTTCTTGCAGGTCTCGAACTATGGATTGTAAACCGCAGTGACTTATGAACGAGACAAACTGGAGACATTTGGAAATGTGAATGTTCTTCAGGTGAGAGGGCATTTAAATGCATTCAATATTCACAATAGTTCTAATTAATTCAAACTTGATTGTTCAATTATGCGACCCTTAAGCAGTTTTATGGTTTCGTGAGTGTTGACCTTCATGACGAGTTGATTTATGCTCTCATCCCTCTTTGAAAAGCTGCTACATTTAAATCAAGGCACAATTCAACATTCCAATAAAAGAATAATAGGACTTTAGACACTTCGAGTGATGTCAGGTTAACATCTTAAAATGTTTTTACTATTCACCCAACATTTCATTTGACTTGTGCAGGACCAGCAAACCACTAACTGATAAATAACCCAGAATGGCCTTTTGAGTGAGCCGTAAATGGTGACTGATGTGGCCATTAAAGAGCAGTGACAAGGTCAGCGTATTAAGGACAGTTAGAGATATGGGCAATAACTTGTCGTGTGAGAGTTTTGGCTGCGAACCCGCACACTGAGATCCTGGCACCTCACAAATCAACACGCTGGAGGAGAAGTTTAACTCTCCATGTCACGACGGGGAGGCGGTGTCGCTGATCTTCCATAAAGTGATCTGGGGCAGGAGGAGAAGAAGAGCAGTAACACGTTTAATGGCCGTGTTTGTTAAAGGGTGACTCGGGTATTTTTCCAACCTGGACAAGAGCTGCTTGAGGACCATGACCGGCTCCCGTTGGTGCATTTATGTGGGTTTGAACATTATGGAGACGGTCTTGCTTGTGTGGAAGTGTCAGGGCAAGGTTACGTGTCGCCGGGAGACGAGTGGAAACCTGAGAAGCCAACGGGCAGAGTTGTTGTTGTGTAAGAGTACAGGGAAACGTAGCTTAGCTTTTTAAGAATATTTACAACGTCAAGGCCGATTATTGTGGTGATTTGGACAACGTGGATGAGTTACTTTGGCCGCCTGTAGCCTCCTCATCTGCATATCCCTGCCGGAGTCTTCAGACGTCTCCTTGAGCGGGACTCGGGCTCGATAACAAAACGTACTGCGCCGAGAGAAAGAAACATTTTTATTTCCTGTGTCTGGTAATTTCCGTAATGTTGTCAAGACTCTCATAAAAACAATCTGAATGGCAGCGGCAAAAACAAGCTCTTAACGGAATGTCACATCAACGCTGCCCACTTTCCCTCGCAGCTCATTTCCCAACCGATGTTAGCGAGAGTACGGGACCATTTCCAAGGAGAGTCACTTAGACACAAAGACATGAGGAAATGGGGTGCTGGCGAAAAGCACAAAAGCAACCTCACTTTAAAACAGGGCTCGGACATGGACACAGCAAAGGGTCGTACTTCAGAGCTGCCATGGCAACAAGAGGTATTTGTCCAGAGGGAGAATACATAGTGATATAGAATGGAGTTGGTTATGTGATCTACGGGCACTTCGGCGCCAACCGCTCGATCTTGATCGATCTATTGGGGAGGTCTTCCCTACAACGTCGCTCTCCATAAGGAATCGTCGTCGGCACCCATCGCCTTGGCTGATTTCGGGCAATGATTAAAGCTGTTAACACGTAACTTCAATCAAGTTTCGATATATTTTCAGGGAATAAGTTCCGTCACCATTGCTTGAGTCCGCTTCAGTGTGAATCTTAGTAAGTGTTCGTTTAGGAGGGCGTATGCAGTAGATGCTGATTAAGTGTGAAGCACACATTGCATTAGTATGCCATTCCGAACACTCATTTTATGTTTATTCATGCAATTATACAACTCCCGAGGTAAAACGCAACTTTGGTCCGACGCCGATCTGCTCCCGACCTCCCCAAGTGGCGACTGAATGAAGTTATGTGGTGTGAAATAGGGATTACCCATGAATGAAACGCTGCAAGCTGGGGATAGATTATTATTATTATTATTATAGAAAGAAGCTTCTTCTGATACATAATGGGGACATTACTATTGAATACATCAGGGGGAACATTACAATGATCTAACTCATTCCCGACATAACATTTTGGTTACAATTAAAAAAACTAAATCTTCTCTAAAAATATTAATTATGCTATTTTTATTGCGGCACCAACATCATCTTTAGTACCACAATCAATAAAGTTGTTGTAATAAACTTCCAATAAAAAATGAATAATCTGTGGAGATAAAAACTGAAGTAATGACTTGCTTTGTGTTTAATTAGTTGTTAATTAATGAGCATAAACACAAACTGAAGTGATCAACTTCAGGCAAAAATGACATTTATGACAGTTAATAAAACTCTCGATACACCAATTGGTGTAATCGTCACTCAAATGTTTCTGGTTCCAATTCCATGTCAACTTTGTTAACCTCATTTTAAAAGTCTGTTTGTAATAAACTATTTGCCATTTCATGTATGAATGTTATTTCCCCGTCGTTGTCCATCTCACACTTTATGCCTGCTGAAGCGTTGACATATTTAGATGTTAATTAGCTGAATAGAAGAAAAGAAAAACAAACATTTGCCGTCCACCGTTTCCGTGTCATGTGATGAAGCCATTGATCATTTTCACAGCCGCCGCTTTGACACGGGAGGCTATTAATAACAATAAGCATGGCCCTGTCCCATGAGGTTGGCCCTGGTATTGTGCATGCTGGCTCACTGGAATGGCTGTGACACGCTAAATAGAATGGGACCATCATTTATATCAGTAAGTCAGACCTGTGTTTACCGTGTGACGCGCCCTAATGGCCGTTAGTTAAATGGGCCCGTCGGGAGACGGAGGATGGGACACACTCGGGTCTCATTGAGGCATCGCGTTGGCCAACCCCCTTCAGGACACAGTTGCGTGTTCCCTAACATATGCCTGCATCCACTTACTGACATAAAGTCATTATACAATGCATGGCGTACTGTTTAACTGATTTGGGACATTTTTGTCCAATGGAAATGTCTCATTCAGCTCCGGCTCGTTTCACTTCTGATTAGAAATAAACAAAGATGGCAAAAATGCTAAAAGCAGCCTTCAAAACCACAGTCTTATTTCAAATGCCTTTTTCAGAATCGTCACACATAACTGTAGGTAACAAATCCATGAATAGCCATTAAATTATTGATATTGTTTCATAAATACATTTAAAAGAGGCCAGTATCAGGCAGCATTCAGCACCGTTGTAGCACATACTCACTTGTATGTCCACACACACTAGTAAAGTAATGTCTGAGTACTTGCATGTTCAAGGTTGACATGGAGTACAAGTATAAACACAGACAGAACAGCTTGTGCTGCAGATGAATTGGACTGAAACTAATTTCTATGATGTGAAGTTTTAATCAAGTAAAGGTGACTGAGTAACATTCTTTGACATCCCACATAATGAAAGTATCATTTGGAAGTACAGTGCACAGATGGCTGATAAAGTGCAGCATTCACAGTGTGAACATACCAGATTGCTTTCTGGTGGGAATGTGTGTCTGCTGTCCTATTTTATGAGCACATGCTCCATCATGCCGTCATTACGAACTTCGGTGTATAGTTAAGCCTCGACAAGATGGCAGGAAATCCCTTTCGTGGAAATTGTGACAGCTCCTGATTGTGAGCTCTCGCTGTCCGGCGCCTCGCGTTTCTCTCCTCACAAAGCTCGGGGATTGTACAGGCGGTGGCTGCGGGGCACACGGCAGATGGCTTTTCAGCAAAGAACTGCATTTAGCTGAAAAATTGAAAAACTGGTCTCTCGGTGGAGGAGGAGGAGGAACACACATCCCCGTGCACGTGTTTGCATGAAGACTAGGGGGAAGTTCACGATGATTGTAAGCCACTTTGTATGCATCATCCGGGCCGTATTCATTCACCCAACCGGCTACTTTGGAGTCCTGGACCTCAGCATGCCAAGTTCGTTCCACGGCCAGACATACGAGGAACGCAACAACTCCGCGAAGATATGGAGAGGTCCGTTAATCAGCCGGTCGGTTGGCCTGCCGGGTTTGAAGGTCAGAGGCTCGCTGCAACGATGGATTCAACCAGGACATGACGGACAGCAGATGAAAGGCAGCTTGCAGACGCACCGGGCATAACCATTACACACACAC